AGAGAGAGAGAGAGAGAGAGAGAGAGAGAGAGAGAGAGAGAGAGAGAGAGAGAGAGAGAGAGGGAGAGAGAGACACTAGAGGGTGTGTGTCTAAAGACACAATTGTTCAACACTCTTCTCTACCAGTAAATTTTGTATGTGAGAATGTGTGCGGGTCTCTCTCTCTCTATCTCTCTCTCTCTCTCTCTCTCTCTGTGTGTGTGTGTGTGTGTGTGTGGTTCAATGGTCTCACAGTGTACATTTTTCTGTCATTTGTATCGTCAGTTAAGTTGAGTGATGATTTTGCATTGTGCGTTGCATAAAGCCTTCTTGGAATTAGGTGCTAAGCTGTATTATACTGTATACTTTACAACCATTCTCCAAATATTACGAGTTTGTTGATGCGCACTTTTTGAGTCCATCCCCTATTCCTTTGTTTGTTTCCCAGAAACCAACGTCACAGTCAACGCCGTACATCCAGGTTTCATCCACACTGACATCGCACGGGATTTCCCTCTCTACTATTCTCGGATTGTTCATTTTCTCAATAGCCCTTTTAATTCCCTGCTGTTTCGGACTCCGTTCCTTGGAGCTCAACCAACCCTGAGACTTGCCTTGGACTCAAGCCTTGCCAATGTCTCGGGGAAATATTTCGGGTAGGCTATTGAATCTAACATGCAGGTGCAGCTGATGTGGACTCCTAATAAATAAATATATAAATAAATAAAAGAAAATGAATAGAAAAAAATAAAATAAAATAAATAAATAACGAAAGAGTGAGAATGAATGAATGAAAGAAATTAGGGTGACCTTATTTGGGCCACAGTGTGGCCTAAATAAGCTAAACCCCCCTCCCTTACCTTATTTAGGCCATATGTGGCCCAAATAAGCACTCCCAAGAAATTAACATTTAAATGGCTAAATAAATTCTAAATAAATAAATAAATAAGATTTAAACATTGTTCTCCCTGTGCTGCAAGATACAGCGCATGTGCGAAGGCGAAACATTGTCCAGTGCCCGGCCCGGACCCCTCCCCCTGAACTCGGAATGGACACGATACTTCCGCGTGACAGATCAAAACGTGTTACCTATTATTGGGCCACTCATGTCTCGTTTTTGTATTCTCTCCCCTCCCCTGCTCGTCATAAAAGGAAGACATC